GTGAAAAATGTCAGATTAAAAGCTGACTCTGCAAGTAAATTAAGTGTAAGAATTGCTATCAAGAGACAAGTCTGATTCCTTTTTATATCAATAACCAGGTTTCCATCCAATCTTTGTATGTGAGTAAAGTAGTCTACATGTCCGATAGAAAATGTCAAGACTGGCCTGATGGAAAGGACATTTGTCAGTAAACCTTCCCAAATGACAAAACTAAATATGCTAGACAAGGTGGGATGTCAGTAAAATTAATTATGCGAGAAATGGGGGTGGAAACGCTTTTAATGTGCAAATATTAATATAATAACTATCACGCGATGACGTGTCGTCTTCCCACTAGACTTGGGAAAGCATGCAGTTTATTAGGCTACAGATTAAATAAATGATGATGAACTCCACAGGGTGGTGAAAGTGAAAGGTGATCTTGATGCTCCTTTCCAATAAATATCGAGGGTCTTATTTTCGTGACATGATGATCGATGCTTGACTGCCATTTGACAAATAAAAATATTCTTATCCATAATAATCTCATCATGTAGACTTTACCAGCACTGTCTGCGAGCTGTTGGTTAAGGTGCACGTGTCAATACCAGAGTGGGCACATTTGCTATATAACACAACTTTTTTTGTGACAAAACCATCAGCAGAGTTGAACATTTGTTATTTGTGTGCTACCTCATCATGCACAGTCTTTTATCTGCAACAAGTCAATTTGATGGAAACATCTCTGGTGGAAAAATGGGCATATTGTTTTTATGCAGATTTTAGAATATTTGCATGAAAATCTGTTGCAAATTGGATGGAACCTAGCTAATGGGATGCAAAGTTTAATATTATTGAGGACTGGAATACTTTTGGAAACATGCTTGCTTAACATTGGCATCATGTAGAACTGTTATTCATAAGCAAGATGGTTTGCATGTGCCTACAGATACAAAATACCTGTGTTGTTACACAACCTATTGTGCATGAATGTGAAGTAGGGTTTTACATGTGTTTCGCATAATAGTTTGAAATATGAGGCTATGACGGTGTGGAGGACCATACTAGGATGTAACTAGACTGAACAAAAATATAAATGGAACTTGCAACAATTTCAAATATTTTACTGAGTTACAGTTCATATAAGGAAATCAGTTTATTGAAATAAATTAATTAGGCCCTAATCTATGGATTTCACATGACTGTGATTACAGATCTATTGGTCACAGATACCTTTAAAAAAAGATAGGGGCGTGGATCAGAAAACCAGTCAGTATCTTTCCTCATGTAGCACGACACATCTCCTTCACATAGAGTTGATCAGGCTGTTGATTGTGGCCTGTGGAATGTTGTCCCACTCCTCTTCAATGGCTGTGCGGAGTTGCTGGATATTGGCGGGAACTGGAACACGCTGTCATACTTGTCGATCCAGAGCATCCCAAACATGCTCAATGAGTGAAACGTCAGGTGAGTATGCAGGCCATGGAAGAACTGGGACATTTTCAGCTTCCAGGAATTGTGTACAGATCCTTGCGACATTGGGCTGGCCGTGCATTATCATGCTGAAACATGAGGTGATGGCGGCGGATGAATGGCACAACAATGGGCCTCAGGATCTCGTCATGGTATCTCTGTGCATTCAAATTGCCATCGATAAAATGCAATTGTGTTCATTGTCCGTAGCTTATGCCTGCCCATACCATAACCCCACCGCCACCATGGGGCACTGTTCACAACGTTGACATCAGCAAACCGCTCGCCCACACAATGCCATACACGCCATCTGCCCGGTACAGTTGAAACCAGGATTAATCTGTGAAAAACACACTTCTCCAGCATGCCAGTGGAGCATTTGCCCACTGAAGTCAGTTACGACGCCAAACTGCAGTCAGGTCAAGACCCTGGTAAAGACAACGAGCACGCAGATGAGCTTCCCTGAGACGGTTTCTGACAGTTTGTGCAGAAATTCTTCGGTTGTGCAAACCCACAGTTTCATCAGCTGTCCGGGTGGCTGGTCTCAGACGATCCCGCAGGTGAAGAAGCCGGATGTGGAGGTCCTGGGCTGGCATGGTTACACATGGTCTGCGGTTGTGAGCCGGTTGGACATACTGCCACATTTTCTAAAACAACGTTGGAGGCGGCTTATGGTAGAGAAATTAACATCAATTTCTCTGGCAACAGATCTGCTGGATATTCCTGCAGTGAGCATGCCAATTGCACGCTCCCTCAAAACTTGAGACATCTGTGGCATTGTATTGTGACAAAACTGCACATTTTAGAGTGACCTTTTATTGTCCCCAGCACAAGTTGCACCTGTGTAATGATCATGCTGTTTAATATGCCACACCTGTCAGGTGGATGGATTATCTTGGCAAAGAAGAAATGCTTTCTCTCGCTGCTGATTGTGGCCAAACCCCAAACTATTTCTAAATGAAATACTGTGTGTCCTGAAAACAAGTTATAGGAATTAAGCTCTTCAAGTGGAAGACAATGGAACTGGATCTGTGAAGGACTCAAGCTTGTCAAGCGGAGTTCTAAATAGCTGTGAAATTTAACCTGAGTAATTGTTGCCTATGTTATTGGTTCTCAAAGTTGGCTAATCATGCTTGGACGGTGGAAAAACCTGCTAAAAAGAAATGACAACACTGTATACAGATATATTAATATTATTTATATAGGTCTTTATATATAGAAATCTATGTATACTGCAATGCTTTCAGAGAGGAGAAAACAGAGACTGACACCACAGAGTAGGTCAGCGATGGAACGATGCACATGATTGACAGAACAGAAGCACTGAGGATGATGGAGGATGAAGCGCAGGAGAGTTGGAAGAGAGAAACAAAACGTTCCGAAATCGTCAATCAACGTCATAACGGGCATTGTAATATGGAATGCCTGCAACTCAATTGATTACAGCCCTTACAGTCTCTTGGTGTTATTTATAAAAGGAAATTACAATCTCTTATGTAATATTACAATCATACTGTATTTGAATAGAATCCACCTATTTACAACACTTCATAACTATATCTGTAGTCCATGTACAAGTTTAGTGGTCCTCTGTTGAAACATTTGAGACAGTGGTATAGAGTTGCTGGTGGCGGAGTCCAACGGAATGACAAAAACATTCCTACAACGTTTCTCTCCCTTCCCACAACCACCAGCAACATGACACAATTGTGCATTAGCCTACATGCGTTTATGTATAATGCTCTTTTATGTATAGATTTTTATTTATTTCCGTGTTGTAAACCAATTGGTGCCCAGCCCAAATAGGCTTATAAGACACGATATCAAGTATGTGTGCACAAAACATTTTTACATTAAAACAAATTAAATGCATTTAACAAATAAATGCATAATCAGCACTCATAAAGTAGTTTTCACCTGTAAAATCTAATTGCGCGGTTTGATGATTTTTTAAAACCCAAACTGTCACCTAAAAATGACATTAACAATTTTATCCTTTTGACACTAATATAAAATGACTAAATTGGTTACCAACGTTAACCTTTGGCAGTTCGAATAACCTCAATGTATTTCTGACTTCCTGTCCGTTTGCTGTCCTATCGTTCAAATGGGGAGGTCTATAACAATTAAGTGATCGGACCGTGTCTGTCAATGATGGACTTCAGTTAGTTCATAACCCTACAAGAACATTTAATGATTTACAACATAAACCTCCACTTGACAATGATAGCGAGTAACACATACACACACACACACACACAACTGCTGCACCATCAGCTGAAACCGTAAGCTTGAAATAAGAGATTCCTCTATACAAATAATGACATTTAATCGAAGCTCTTCCTCAGGTGACTAGATAGGGTCACACCGAGACAGAAGTAACGTAGCAGCGTTTACCCTGATTACATAGGTCTATCTATGCTTTTACAACATTCCCCTTAATGTCATTCAACACCTATAGTTTAGAGAGGAGCGTTAAACCTCCTCTGTAGTCATTCATTGTCAGTTTACTTTAAACTAGAGGGGTTGGAGTTTAATTAACAAGGCCTAACCCCCTTTAGAGTCACCCTGTATTTTCAGGCAAAAAGCACAACATCCTTCTAGATTAGTCTGCCTACATTTATTTTATTTTATTTTTTTGTACCCCGAAGGTGTAGAACGGGGCTCTCTAACCCTGTTCCTGGAAAGCTACCTTCCTGTAAGTTTTCGCTCCCCCAGTTGTACCTAACCTATTATTAGAATTAAGAGTGCTAGATTAGGGTTGGAGCAAAAAACCTACAGGATGGTAGCTCTCCAGGAACATGGTTGGGGAACCATGGTGTAGAAGATCTAAACAAAAAGTCTAAATAATCAGTCACATATCATACTGCACCAACGATGCAAAAATACACATCTACACAATATTTATAAAAAGGTTATTCTCTAAGGGTTGTACAGTCGCAAACTTCCTACACAAACACGCACACACAGAAACAAGACAAAGAAACATAACATCTCCTGCTTGTGTCTGAACGTGTGCATTCATGGTTATTCCAACAATAGAAGCCTTTCAGCCTTACAGTACGATAACTTTGAGGTCTTAACCCTTTCCTCTCCCTCCCCTTTGACCTTGATACATTTGCCGACTACTTCCCCTTGTTTGTGAAGGACGTGATAAGAGGGTTCTCTTGGAGGTCAGGGTTCATAGTTCATTGGTGTAGCTGGTCGAGGTGTGTCAGGATGGGTGGAGAAATGGCTTTGTTGTCCACAGCCACAGGCCTCAGGTTTCTGGCCAAGTGTCCATGGTCATATTCATTAGAGCACACCTTAGCAAAAGGTTTTGCAACGGGGGGAGAAAAAAAAAAATGTCTTATTAGACAAGTTCTGGTGGTACCTCCCCATTTCAGTAAATGTTCTTCCATTTGGTGCCTAATTAATACACCCCAGGTTCAGACCTTGGTTCTGGTCTAGTGATGGACCTTGAAGGCCAGCAGCTGCTCAGAGTGCATGTTATTAAGGGCGCGCAGGTCAGGCAGTCTGAGGAGCAGCTTGGTGAATATGGCCGACTCGTTGGGGTGGTTCTTAGTGATGAGGCCCTTCAGGTGCCAGATCAGAGTCTCCTGAAGCGCCTCCACAGAGTTCACATTCTCAATCCCTGAGCGATCTAGAACACAAAAACCACAGTAGAACGTTATTAGACTTGGTTCCTATACTTTTCTCTGATTACCATTCATCCGCGTATGTCTCTATGACAGGAAGCTCAACCAACGGAGATGGATAGAAGATGTTGGTGAAGAAGGAAACACTCACTATAATACAATGTATGCTTTCAAACAACAAACATACTGTAGATAGTTACACTACTCTCTTGGTAAGGAGCCATACAGTACCATAACAACTCACAGTATTAAGTCTGTTTCTATAGGATCTATAGTGTCTATATAGTCTATTTAAAAGGGACAGGAAGAGTGAATCAAAAGGTCACAGGTCATGAGCCTACCGGCAGAGATGAGGACGACGGTGGTGAACAGGCTCATCTCCTCCTCGCTGAGGCCGAGCCCCATCAGATTTTCGCTGAAGTCCATCATGGAGGTCAGGAAGTCGCCGGCGCCCATGGCTCGTAACATCTCCACGCTGTACTTGGTACCACCCAGGAATGTCACTGTGCGGTCTTTCACGTCAAACAGCGATGCAAAACGTACCACTAGCACCTGATGAAGTGACAGCAGACACTAAGTTTGGCTGGATCAACTGCATTTCGATGAGAGCAATATCAGTTTGTTTTTTATACTGTTTTCATTCACATACACGTGAGAAAGGGGATAAGGGGTAGAGGAGAGGAGAGAAGGAGAAAAGAAGAGCCTAGGGAAGTAAGATGGAGTAAAACAATGCAATAAGAGGTTTTAATACACTGTAAGCGAGTGTTCTGAGACTGGTCTTTACCTCAAAGGTACCAGCCTTGAGCAGGCTGACCTGGTCGTGTTGGGAGAGGTCTCTGAAGCCTGGGATCCGCTTGGCAAACTCCACCACCTCCCTGACGGCCGGGGTGAAACTGTGGCTGAATTCATCCCAGATCCCATGGCCTGACTTATGGGGGTTCACATGGGGAGACGTGTTCATGGGACACAGCTGAGGATGGAGAGAGGGGAGAAGGACTTGGGTTGGAAGGAGGCACATGCAACATATCATTCATATACTTATTAAATGGTGGAAAAGGCGAGTTTCCCACATACATTGTGTTAGGTTAACACAATCTGAAGGTGTGAGATCAAGTATGGTGTTCCACAGGGATCGAATCTTGGACCTCTATTATTTGTAGTTTACATTGACAATCTGCCAAATGGACAAACTGCTCTCTCAAGTGATTTGAGAAGAAAGTGCTATATAAAGTCCCCTGTAGCTCAGTTGGTAGAGCATGGCGCTTGCAACGCCAGGGTTGTGGGTTCGTTTCCCACGGGGGGCCAGTATGAAAATGTATGCACTAACTAACTGTAAGTCGCTCTGGATAAGAGCGTCTACTAAATGACTAAAATTTAAATAAATGTAGTTGATCAATATATTATATAATAGATTAGCATAAATTATAACTAAAATATATCATACGATCATTGTCCATCTTGGACTCACCAGATGCATCCTGTAGCCACCGCTCCACAGTGGTCCAGTGTATCCTCCATGGGAGTTGGAGGTGGCCTGGCTAGTGCTGTTGTTCCCTCCATGGTGGGCGTAGGCTGGGCAGTTGCCACTAGGGGAGCTGTTGGGAAGTCTGTCTCTGCTGTAGGAACAGTGGTTCTGGATGGGGGTGGTGGGAGTACCTCTGCCGTAGGGGCAATGGCTGGGGGTGGTGGTGTGGTCCTCCTGGCGATGGTGGCTGTCAGGGCCCTGAGGCCCAGTGTTGGTGGGCCTCTCCTGAGCCTGGACGTGGACCTCAGTGGCTGTGAATGAGGCCAGGTCAGTCTGCTGGTTCTGGTTCTTCTGGTTCCAGGCCTCCTGCTGGTTCCGGTTCCTCTCCTCTATCCTCTTTCCAGTGTCACTGACGTGTTGCTGCGCCTCCGGGGAGGTCGGCTGGGCATCGGCCTGGTTGTACATGAAGGTCTCCTGGTGGGCCCGGGTCACCGAGCCAATCACCTCCTCTGACACGTGGTCTGAACCACTTGACAGAGACGCCGATATAGGGCTTGTATCCATGGCGACTGCAGACTCTGGGTGATGGCTGGGCTCCTCTGATTGGTTGGACCCGGGGGAAGCGGCGGGAGAGGTGGAGGAAGAGGCGGAGCCTAGGCCAGAGTCAACATCTTGGGGGTGGGGCTCCCCGGGGCAGGCTGGCGCCTGAAGCTGATTGGCCAGGGGGACGGGTGTGTTGCTGTGGAGCTGGCTGTGTAGCTGGCTGTTGTTGTTCATCATGTTGTTCATGGCACTCTGCATCTCTAGCAGCATGCGCTGTTTCTCACGCTTTGGGATGCGGCCGAAACGCACAGCTATTAGAGAAAGAGATAGGAGGCAACGTTTAAGCCGTGTGGACACTACACGACTTTCAAAATCCTAACGTCGCTGAGCCTCTCACATTAAACAACCATCTTTCCTGTCGTTTTTTTTGTGTTGCCAACGTAGTGGTGCGCACACTAAACAATGTGGCACAGACGGTGGTCACTCACTACAAGATCCTTCACTTGGTCGTGAGGATTCTCAATACAACGCTGTCTCACGAAAAAAATAATGTGCTTAGATTTAATGTAGCTATGAGCTGTGGCTCAAAGCAGCCTCAAACGTTAAGTCATTCAAGCTTGCCATACAGAGTTGAAATATCTAGGCAACATTTTGAATTGAATAACATTGATTGTGAACTTCAGAGCTGTAACGATTTTACACTTTGGCTTTGGTTAAAGGCAAGTACAAACGCATACTAGTAGTAGTCATGGCTCTGCTGGAGAGTCTACACATTCTGGGTGACGCAAAACAACGTCATCATCTCACTGGCTTCTTCTCTAGCGAGCCCTCATTGGTTATTGCTGATCACCGTTCTCAAAACTTGTCATTGCACATCTCACACTACAAGAGCATTACAGATTTTGTGCGATAAAGTCAAACATGTTTGAAAGTCTACTGATAATGATCAAATACTGTAAATCCTTGTTTGAAATCTAACAAACCGACTCTTTCTTCTTCATCTTATTTTTTCTCAACTACATATTTATTGAACCCATGATAATGGTAATAAACCATGTATTATTGTGACTGGAGAGGGGATGTAGTTAAAGAAGGTAATGGGAACTTACAGTCTTTGGACATGCCGACCAGCAGACACTTCTTGAAACGACACTGCTGGCAGCGGTTCCTGTTGATCCTCATGATGGCACAGCTCTCGTTCTTCAGGCACTTCTTATACTGGATGTTCTGCTGGATGCTCCGACGGAAGAAACCCTAGAGACACACAGACAGACACATTGGTGAGTCAGAGTTTTCATTCAATTTGAATCAGTGGGCCTTTTTCTAGAGTTACATCCGAGTTGGGGGGGTTTTGCACTTTGTCCATTTGTATGCTGAAAATCTAGAAGATATTCTTTATTTTACAGTTTATTAATTATTTGATATCAAATTTGGCCATCAAAAAATTAAACCCCTAAAACAGTGTATTAGGTTGCATGATGCCTCTGGGTTTTAGAGGTCGAAGAGTTAAAAATAAGGCAGAACTATTTAAAGCAGTCCGAGTTCGATGAGGGTGGCTGCTGTGATGAGTTGACCCAGTTTGGCTACCGTCCTATTATGTCATCGCACCCTTGCTCTCTCACCTTAACTATGATATTGAGGCACAACATTGATTAGGTGTGTGTGTGTGTATTCTCACCTTGCAGCCCTCACAGGCATGGACCCCGTAGTGGAATCCAGATGCAATGTCTCCACACACCTTACACAGCAGCACCAGGCCGTTGATTTCTGCAAAAACAAAGAGACAAAACATCTCATCAGCACCCATTGACGCAATACCTCTTTAAATTAAATTCAATAGACTGTATTCATCCCCAAAGCCAAGGGACAATTATTGCAATAGTAACTGAATAGACATTCAAGTTATTGCACAGTAGAGAAACCACTCACTAGTAATGCTGCATTTTGCACTGGTCTTTGCCGTAGTATGGGCCAGTGGGAGGCCTGCCGTGGTTAGCAGCGTGTCCACCACGTTGCCCTGGCGACAGCTGTGGGAGGAGTTGTGTGTCAGGGAGGAGGAGTTGTAGCTGCCGTCATTTGAGTCACTATGACATGACTCAGGGCTGGAGGAGCTGATGTAGGCTATTACACCCCCTAGTGGAGAGAGAGACATGATGATTAGGCTGATAGTTTCACTGAATTAAATATAACACATATTATACATTTTAGTCATTTAGCAGACGCTCTTATCCAGAGCGACTTACAGTTAGTGAGTGTATACATTTTCATACTGCTGTTATCTCTGTGTTTGAAAGGAATTTGAATTCATGTTGTTTCAGAACATTTTGTAGACCGAAGGGAAGGATCTGGAAACCGTACAGTCCAAAAACTATTAATCTTATTCCAAAACTAAAAAATGATTAGCATTTAATTATTCCATGTATAAAATACTGCTCGCCCTATTCACTACAACTATCAGAACTGCCCCACTCTAAACTACCATTAACAGCCTCTAGTTTCCAAGCACTCAGTTTCACTGATTCACATGTAGCAATCTAGTGACGCTGTTGTCCCCTTTTTGTCCTATGGAAACCAAATCTAATACTGATTGGATCATAGCATAAAGAGGCCAGGTTTATACTCGTCGAGCGTAGTGCCAACCCATAATTCCCTGGTGCTGCAGAGTCAGGGTTGCCATGTTTGTAGTTTTGCTGGTATTTTTGTCTACTTTGAAAACGATGTTGCGGGTGAAAATGTATTGGTCGCGGGTTGCCGGTTTTTGGGCTACTTCTAAATTGCACTGCGGCCACCATGGCAATTGTGTACTTTACCTAGAGCTGGCAAACGGATTTAATAAATAGCCTATAACTTCAGTTTATCGTTGTTGTAGCCTTGTGTTATTATGTAATTATTAATGGCCATGTTTAGTTCATGAAATTGGAAGTTATCAATTGTTATCATGGTCACAATTCTATCGCAATTTGACGATCAGCTGTTGGAATGCATTTGATTGAAGGTAAATCAGTCAGTCAGATTAGGTTTAAAGTAAAACATTAAAAACACTGTCTGTTGTTGACAAGCATAGGCCTCTTAGTTCATATACATATTTTAATATTTAATTCAGTGATTTAAATTACGAATCCTCAGCAGGCTATTGGGCAACGGGAAGCACTTACCTCGAAATCGCCTCGCTGTTCATGTTGAATAAATAAGTCTGTCAATTTGAACTAAGCAAGCTGCTAAATCGTTAATTTTACATTTTGCCTAGGCTACTGTAGGCTATCTGACATTAGATGTAGCCCTATCAGGGGCTATAGGCTACCTGCATCTAGCTAACCAAACCATGGCAAAGTTGAATTACAATCATAAACCCAGATTTTAGTCAGTAGGCCTAGCCTGTTTATTGAAATGACAAGTCAATCTTGCAAATCGGCCATTTATAACATTATAGCATTTTTGTAGCCATTTTCTGCAGCCTGTCAACTATGCCTCTGTCTATCCCTGTTCTCTCCTCTCCGCACAGGATATACAAACGCCTCACACCGCGTGGCTGCTGCCTCTCTAACCTGGTGGTCCCTGCATGCACCACCCACGTGGAGTTCCAGGTCTCAGGCAGCCTCTGGAACTGCTGTTCTGCTGCCAACAAGGCAGAGTTCATCTCAGCCTATGCTACCCTCCAGTCCCTCGACTTCTTGGCGCTGACGGAAACATGGATTACCACTGAAAACACTGCTACTCCTACTGCTCTCTCCTTGTCTGACCATGTGTTCTCGCATACCCCGAGAGCATCTGATCAGCGGGGTGGTGGCACAGGAATCCTCATCTCTCCCAAGTGGACATTCTCTATTTTTCCCCTGACCCATCTGTCCCCCCCTACTCACAAGGCAGGCAATACGCTTGACCTCATCTTTACTAAATGCTGTTCTTCTACTAATCTCACTGCAACTCCCCTCCATGTCTCCGACCACTACTTTGTATCCTTTTCTCTCTCGCTCTCCTCCAACACTACTCACTTTGCCCCTACTCAGATGGTAATGCGCCGTCGCAACCTTCGCTCTCTCTCTCCCGCTACTCTCTCCTCTTCCATCCTATCATCTCTTCCCTCTGCTCAATCCTTCTCCATCCAATCTCCTGATTCTGCCTCCTCAACCCTCCTCTCCTCCCTTTCTGCATCCTTTGACTCTCTATGTCCCCTATCCTCCCGGCCGGCTCGGTCCTCCCCTCCAGCTCCGTGGCTTGATGACTCATTGCGAGCTCACAGAACAGGGCTCCGGGCAGCCGAGCGGAAATGGAGGAAAACTAGACTCCCTGCGGACCTGGCATCTTTTCACTCCCTCCTCTCTACATTTTCTTCATCTGTTTCTGCTGCTAAGGCCACTTTCTACCACTCTAAATTCCAAGCATCTGCCTCTAACCCCATTTTGAAAAGAAGGTTGACGACATCCGATCCTCGTTTGTTAAGTCAAATGACACTGCTGGTCCTGCTCACACTGCCCTACCCTATGCTTTGACTTCTTTCTCCCCTCTCTCTCCAGATAAAATCTTGCGACTTGTGACGGCCGGCCGCCCAACAACCTGCCCGCTTGACCCTATCCCCTCCTCTCTTCTCCAGACCATCTCCGGTGACCTTCTCCCTTACCTCACCGATCAACTAATCCTTGACCGCTGGCTATGTCCCTTCCGTCTTCAAGAGAGCGAGAGTTGCACCCCTTCTCAAAAAACCAACACTCGATCCCTCTGATGTCAACAACTACAGACCAGTATCCCTTCTTTCTTTTCTCTCCAAAACTATTGAGCGTGCCGTCTTTAGCCAACTCTCTTGCTATCTCTCTCAAAATGACCTTCTTGATCCAAACCAGTCAGGTTTCAAGACTGGTCATTCAACTGAGACTGCTCTTCTCTGTGTCACGGAGGCTCTCCGCACTGCTAAAGCTAACTCTCTCTCCTCTGCTCTTGTCCTTCTAGACCCGTCTGCTGCCTTTGATACTGTGAACCATCAGATCCTCCTCTCCACCCTCTCCGAGCTGGGCATCTCCGGCGCGGCTCACTCTTGGATTGCGTCCTACCTGACCGGTCGCTCCTACCAAGTGGCGTGGCGAGAAGCTGTCTCCGCACCACGTGCTCTCACCACTGGTGTCCCCCAGGGCTTCTAGGCCCTCTCCTATTCTCGCTATACACCAAGTCACTTGGCTCTGTCATATCCTCACATGGCCTCTCCTATCATTGCTACGCAGACGACACACAACTAATATTCTCCTTTCCCCCTTCTGATAACCAGGTGGCGAATCGCATCTCTGCATGTCTGGCAGACATATCAGTATGGATGACGGATCACCACCTCAAGCTGAACCTTGGCAAGACGGAGCTGCTCTTCCTCCCGGGGAAGGACTGCCCGTTCCATGATCTCACCATCACGGTTGACAACTCCGTTGTGTCCTCCTCCCAGAGTGCGAAGAGCCTTGGCGTGACCCTGGACAACACCCTGTCGTTCTCCGCTAACATCAAGGCGGTGACCCGATCCTGTAGGTTCATGCTCTACAACATTCGGAGAGTACGACCCTGCCTTACACAGGAAGCGGCACAGGTCCTAATCCAGGCACTTGTCATCTCCCGTCTGGATTACTGCAACTCGCTGTTGGCTGGGCTCCCTGCCTGTGCCATTAAACCCCTACAACTCATCCAGAATGCCGCAGCCCGTCTGGTATTCAACCTTCCCAAGTTCTCTCACGTCACCCCGCTCCTCCGCACACTACACTGGCTTCCAGTTGAAGCTCGCATCTGCTACAAGACCATGGTGCTTGCCTACGGAGCTGTGAGGGGAACGGCACCTCCGTACCTTCAGGCTCTGATCAGTCTCTACACCCAAACGAGGGAATTGCGTTCATCCACCTCTGGCCTGCTGGCTCCCCTACCTCTGCGGAAGCACAGTTCCTGCTCAGCCCAGTCAAAACTGTTCGCTGCTCTGGCACCCCAATGGTGGAACAAGCTCCCTCACGACGCCAGGACAGTGGAGTCACTCACCACCTTCCGGATAAATTTGAAACCCCACCTCTTTAAGGAATACCTGGGATAGGATAAAGTAATCCTTCTACCCCCCCCCCCTTACCCCACCCAAAAAAATAAACATTGTAAAGTGGTTATCCCACTGGCTATAAGGTGAATGCACCAATTTGTAAGTCGCTCTGGATAAGAGCGTCTGCTAAATGACGTAAATGTAAATAACGGTTTGTAGTCTTAACATCTGGCACATAATAATGGCACAATTGACAGATAATATAACATTTTTTTTGTTTGTTTAATAAGGGCGAATTATATTTTCTCTTGCGACATATTCAAATTCCTTTATTCGTCACATTAGCTCACAATTATTATTATTTTGATGGAAAACCGAATGTTGCTTTTTAGGTTGTTAGAAGTTAAATCGAGATTCCTTCTTAATTCGCTCGATAACGTTATGGGAAAAGGGTTTATTGGCTAAATGTTGCAGCACTCTTGCTGCGAAAAAAACATATTTGGCCGTTTTCAGGCCTTGTGGGCGGGTTTTGATCGTATTTTGCAATAAAGTTCAGCTAGACCTGGCAACCCTGTGCAGAGTGGCTCTCAGCCAGGAGTAGAGGCCGATCACCCGCTCAGTCACCCGCTGTTTTTATCACCCCCCTTTTTTCAAATCAGGCTGACCTGGTTTCTCTCCCTCCATTCTGGTTAGATAACACCCCTGTTTCATAATGCCAGTTTCAGCAGGGTGTGTGGAGAATAGCCTGGCTACACTGCAACTCACACACATGGCTCAAGTGGGAAGCTCATCGTCATTCAATCAAGAAGCAGGGGCAGGGCTAACATTTCCGGATTGCTTCATGAAGCAAGCAATTAATGCCTGCCAAATGTTGTGTGGCATTATAACCTAATGTGATGTGTTCTTGAGTTGGTCGTTTGTAAATTCCTTGTTGATCGAACTGCATTACAGAAGAAGTTTCAGCAAATTCTAAAATAATCTCAATGGTAAGAACATTCATAAAGCATAACTCCCGAGTGGCGCAGTGGTATAAGGCCACTAGAGATCCTGGTTCGAATCCAGGCTCTGTCGTAGCCGGCCGCGACCGGGAGACCCATGGGGCGGGGAAC